AGTTGGGGTCAATGGTGGTGCGGATACCAGCTACCACATTCTCGAATGGCTCATTGGTTCACCGACAACGTTCCCGCACACGCTCTTTGTACTGACCCCGGGCCCGACGCCACTGTACGAGTGCCGTCTGGTCTCATTCCTTCATCTTCGGCGGCGCAATATATTTGTATATTGGTTGCGGAACAGACATGTCCACATCATCGTCCGTCGCTAGACGAATCCGCGACATCTTCGTTGCTTTGCCTATGCTTCTGCGAACTGCTCGCAACTAAAGTATACTTTGTAGCCTCTTGTTCTGTTCAATGCAAATACAATAGTGTTTCATTAGCTCTCTCTCCCTATGTGGGCTACGGAACGTGACTCTTCGCAACCGGCGGTTCTTGTGGACCGCTTCCACGAACCGGTTACCCACTGTAGGGTGTTGGCAAGTCTGATACCTGAACAAAAGAGCTGAGACGCTTTGCGCAATTAACGGAGTGTCAGGCAATTGACAAGAGTGTAAACAGAGACGCCGTAAATCTGGTAGAGAAATATTAGACAGCCCAAAAGTGTCAAATATGCGATTACGATTTTACTGCAGAATGTTCAAGTACAAAATAGGGCAAGATTAAAGAAAACGATGCAATTTTTGCGTCGACAGTCTGCGTTTTAAGTCCAGCAAAAATAACTTGATACATTTGTCAAAAGCAAGCAGACTGGAGGATGTCGGAGCTTACAGCAGCCTTTCTGGGCCGTCGACGGAGGAGCAATCATGGTCAAGAAAGAAGGAAGCGTGACGATAGTAATTTCGGCAATTAGCATGAAGACTTGAGTGAAACTGTCGGGTGTAAATTACGCGGCGGAATAATAATACCATCTAATAGGGACAACCGGAAGCAGAGGATTACATGCTGGCATACCGTAGTTCGCGGGGAGTTGTGGGTGATTTTAAAAGGGTACGAGCGGTTTTCGACATGGAGAAGAATGATCAGTCTCGTTGTGCATGTGTTAAGGCTATATATATTTTTGTTAGGAAACTTTATACGTCGAAATTTAAATGGTTGGTGGAAGATGATATGCGGTCAAGGTAGGTCATCAATGGATATCTTCTGAAAACGAGCGCATCTTAATTATAATATAATTTTCTTGATGGCCAAGAACTTGGCATCAAAAATAGCGCATACGGGTGAAATGAGGGCGATTTTGCTAGCCAGCAATACAGTAAAGAAAAGGTATGGGGGACACGTGGTTGAAGGAGAATGTGCTCGGACCAAAAGAAGTCGATAGTACCAAAGGACATAATGGTTAACAGGTACATCATCAAGTTTATCGATTAGAAATTATGAACCTGAATAATTTTAACGAAGACGAAGGTTGGGGCGCGCTTTTGTTGGCTTTGTCCGAGGAAGTGTTTTGATGTCATATTTACGTATTGCGCACTGATTGTGGCGAAATGGAATGATTGATTTTTACGGATAAAGTGATAGCAAGTCAAGTCAGTAAACAACGTAATCAGGCAAACAATGAGAGTATGCATCAAGCAGTATTAAGCATGGTGCAGAGCATGGCGTCTGCACTTAAATTATCCGATCTGGAATTTCTACTTTATCGACCGCGGCTTACTGACGTTTCTGCTTTTCGAGATTTGCATAGAGACTCAGCAGCATCGTTACATATCAACTCGAGCACCTCCATATCATCCACCGAACTATGACAGTTTGCGCCTTTTGTGAGCTCAATGGACTTCGACTTCTCATGAAAGGTGTGTTCATGACTAAAAAATCTTCGCCTGCAGAAAAGTGCGTAGCGCCTAATTACTTAACCCCCAGTCAAATCATGGCTCGTGGCAATCCAGTTACATCAATTCTATAATGTAGATGCATCACAAATACAGGTCAAAGACGATACAGCATTTCACGTTACTAAAGTCCGCAAGCTTCACATGAAAGTTTTACACAACCTTCGAGATCTCAAATAGTGTCCCTGGCGCAAAACGCATCAATATCACATACAAAAGTGGCATTGCGTACTGCTAACACTTGTTCGAAGCACGCACCTGAATAAACCGGACTTTCCGCGTCCTCACATGGCCTGGACATTACTATAAATCAATAGCTATGATTTTTAGTAACTACCTTTTCAGCTGGGCTCCATCGACTTAGACTTCCACGAGATACAATACAGTCTAGCTCCTGTCGATTAGGTCACCCGATGCCTATTGGACCTTGGGATTTTATCATGATAAGGCCGTCTCCGCAAGTTGCGTGGAAGATGGAGCCTTCATATGCAGCGGGGGATGGCGTAGCTCTTTGCTTAGAGGAAGCTAAGCTAAAGTCACCGACCTTACGTTCTTTCAAAGAACCAAAACGAGTGTAACGAATTGTAATCCGCTACCTCCGAGTATTAAAACCATAAGCAAGGCAAACGAACACTTCCGCTCAAACTTGAAACTGTATTTTAAAGTTTTATTTGTGGCAAAGCCGCCAATATCTAAAACCCTAGGTTTTCCTGATAGGTAAAGTAATACCTAATCAATATAGCAAAACCTAATTAATATAGTAATATTAATTAGTTTTGCATTTCTACTGGCAATCCCGCCAGTGGTGGCTTCTTGTTTCGGTATAGCCACACAACTGTGTGGATACTCTAACTTGAGTAATACGCACATATGTACGGGCGCACAATCTTGTGCGACCCGCCCTATCATACAAGGGCACGTGTAACCCCGTTCATCATATCCCTCAGCCAAAAAATTTGGGACTACATTAGCGCGAATGTTTGAAAAGTGTTGGATATCGAGCAACAGGGAGCACTACGGTGTTGCTCGGCAGTTAAGAGATTGCCTTCTCCGCCTCGGCATTGCGGAGATCTGTTGTGAAACAACTTCTTCTCCTTTTCCAGTCGGACCTCACGACATAAAAGCTGTCCCTACTTTCAATGCGACATCCACCACATCATCGCGAGTATCTGAATGGACGCGAAGACTCGGTGCCAGTGACACATGATCGGGGTCTTCATGAGATCGGTGATTGTTAACGTCGCCTAGAGATGGACCGTCGTCATCGCGGCGACAAAAACGCTCAGCTCTTGCACTCAACCTGCAATGTTTTGCCCTCGTTGATGAGTGGGTAAGACATATCGTAGCACAGGGAAAATGTCCGGTTAGGCGGTGCGAATACCCGTTACATCTTTCGTCTGAACTACCTCTTTTAGTGAGATACCGCACGTAAGATCCCAGCTTGGTACGCAGTCTCCTGGCATGAAGATCGCTTGCACACCGCACTGCTGTTCCATGGCTCGAAACATGGTCATCTTTATCCTTTCAGAGTAAATCTCTCTGTCTCTGCCCTTGAAGTGCGGTCTCACTGTGGAGTCGGATGTGCTTCCACAGACGTAAGGTTGTAGGTGTCTCACTAGCGCATGTTCCTCCAGGTGAGCAATTACTGCATCTGCTCCTTGGGTCGCCAATTTCGGATAACATCGGGAACGACAATATACATGTACCTATCAAACGTGTTTAGCTGTCCTGAACACAGATATTTGCGGAGTTTGTGCTGTCCTAATAGATGATTAGCGGTCGTGCACGTAATACCAAATGCAACAGGATTGCTGCAACGAATTGCGGTGCACCTGGCACAGAGGAAGCGAGTACGTATTGACTAGTGTACGAAGATTGGTTTGTATACTTCACCCGTATTTGGTACCATAGCTGCTTAGGTAATTAGGTACTAGCTGGCTTTTTTATTCAAAAGGAACAATATCTAGGATCAAGTTTACTAATACGAGTTATGTCCGTTTATCTATACTCGTTAATAATGTATTGTATGTCGTGAGGCTAACAGCCCACGTGTCCGACGTATCTCTCTTAGCCACGTGTCTCTTTTTAGCAAGTTTTCATAATCCTTATTATTACCATACTCTGACGATTGGAAATGTTTATTTCCTTAACTTCTCCGTTACACAATACTATATAAAAGCAACATGTATAATAAACAAATCTATATACTTAGTAGTTTGCAATAATTATCTCTATGAGCATATTGAAGAGCAATTAATCACTTTTGGTTATTCAGCTCACTCAAAGAGCAATCGTACAACTGGTCAAACGGTGTACAGCCTGATTGCGCGGCTCGAAGACTAAATTTGCCGTTAGCCGTAGTTCCTGTTCCTCATGTAATGGCTACAATTAGGTCCATTTTCACAGACAACGTTTTGCATATTGGCGTTTATGTGGAATATTAAATTGTAACATTACAAATCAAAATCTGTTATCTATTGATTATATTTCGCAATCAATTCTACGTCGAGTCTTTGCTAGCTGATCCAACAAGCTCTTCACACTCTTACTACGTTTTTTTAACAATGTCCTCGTATGATCATCCGACTCACTCCGAAAACTCGTCAGATATTGGTGAAAGAAGACTGCGAGTCCATCGATTGTAAGCTGTGCCTTCTTTGTCTGCAATAAACGATGAAAAATCTTTGCCATTTCCACCTCGCTCTCGACTTTAAGAATTTCTACCAGCAACACTCGTAAAAACAAAACACTTTTCTCGTCTAATTGCGTAAAATCGAGCACTTTCAGACTCGATAGCGACAACGTATTACTCAGCACAAGACCAGCCAGCATTTGAGCTTGATTGAACAATTTTCGTGGCTTTGATGAAGTCATCAATTTGAAAATATCCCAAAATGCAAGTTGAAACGTAAATTTGTATCGTGGGTCCATTTTGCACAATGTTTCAGCAAGCACAAGGTAAAATTTGTTAAATTTTGTTTCTTGACCACAACAGTGCAATATGACGCGCACAATCTCGCGCTCTTGTTTCTCCTTCAAGTGCAATTGCAATAATCGTTCATACGCATCAAAAGAGTCAGTTGCACCCATAAGCGCCACAAAGATTTGTTTGCGAATGTCGGTGTTCATGCGCTGTTTTTCAGCAAGTTTCAAGAGCCGATCAGTCTCGTCGTTTGTAACATTGTCATTTGATTCATCACTGGTAGATTTCTGCCGCTGATAACCAACCCAAGTGCCTCCGACAACCCACCAGCGACCATTTTCGTCTGCGTCCAAAAGCTCCTGTAGCGACACTCGAAGCGGATTGTTAGCATTACCACATCGCGTTTTCACACGACCGAGCCACTTCTTTAGCGATGAAATATCCAGCGCACTACCACTTGCATAGCTTTTGCCCCCCTTGGAACGTTTTGGGGACTTTTTCAGATCATAAATGAGGTCTAGGATGAAGCGAACACGCTCATCGGGTTGTCTGTCACAATTTTCTTTTTGCGCCTCGAACACTTTATGCTGTACAGCTGCAATCATTTGATGTAAAGCATCGGCATCGTCTGAGCAAAGTTGAGCGCCACCGATCTTTAGCAATTGGTGGATAAGCTCAATGTCAGTAGATGTAAAACCATCTACGAATGATCGAAAAAGATCGTACACGAGGCTGCAGTGCACAACGCCATAATTGTACAACATTATCACAAACACTGTCAAATTAACTGGCACTTTCGACGTTCTACCAGTGTCGTCTTCAACATCATTGTCTTGTTCTGCAAACTCAATCAGCTGTTTCTTCGCTTCTTCGGCGCTTTCTACAAGTTTGCGCACCAACTTTTCGACAAAAAATCCTCCGACTTCGCTGCCAACGCAGTGATAAAGAGCAGCTAAGAGAGCACCACCTACTTTGATTAGTGACGCCATGACCTGCCGAGGGTGACAGGTGATCTGAAGTAACTTTTCCAAAAGAATTTCGTTTACAACCGATCGGCTATTTGCTCGATAGATCTTTTCCATTTCCAAGACGATGGATCTGAATATAAAAAGAAACACAATCAGTGGTCAAGACACTATGTATAGTCAGCAAATATAATGAAGCAAAGTCCTACTCAATGTTGGACTCAGAGATGCGATTAATTTGGCCATTAATGCGTCTTGATAGCTCACGCATTTCCTGTTCGTCCATGTGCAAAGATTTGACTTCTTCAGTTGTAGAAGCTCCAGTTCCAGTTTTATGCTGAAGCTTACGCCGAAGATGTGGAGGAACGTACGCTGATGGCTTTATTCCAGCGCTTGATTTAATCATAGCTCGACCATAAATGTCTTCTTCGACAACAACATTTTTCTCCTCATCTTCTTCACTTTCGCCTTCATTGTTCGTGTGACTTTCCTCTTGATCACTTTCATCGTCATCTTTTTCTTCTTTGTGGAGCTGATCCATGTTTTCACTGTCCATCTCAGAACTTATTTGATCTTCTTTGCCTTTAATGCCATCGCTCGCATTATCTCCCTCGACAGCAGACAGCTGCTGGTTTCGCAGCGTATTTGCATGAGTTTCGTTATCATCATGACTATCCTCTTCATCCGAGTAAAACTGTTCAAGATTTTCTGACTCGGACTCGGACCCTGATTCATCAGTTGGCAACTCATCCATACCTTTCAAAAATTCGGCATCTTCGGCTTGCAAAAGTTCCATCTCTTGGCGAGTCTCTTCATCCAAATCTTCAAACTCACTATCGGCTTTACTGTCATTTAGTCCAAGGCCAACTTCTGCTTTATAATCCTCTAAGTGATTTACCACTTTCGGTCGACCTTTTACCACTCTACAAGGCATTCACACGATGCATCAATCTTTCTTTTAGTTATATCAATAGCCAGAGCTTTCATACTCTGAAATATTATCCAGCTCCGAAAGAAAATCAGCAAAGTCTTCGCCCAATCCATCCTTCGAATACTCCCTTTATCAGTTAGCCACCACAAAATTAGTCATGACTTTATCTAGCGTAGTCACTAGAAGTAAAGACTTAGATCAATACTTTCTCAGCTTTTTCAACGCCAATGCCGATTTGCTTGCAGATAACGATCCAAGTCCCAATTTAGCTTCCAACGCTTTAATCTCTTGATCTTCAGCATTCGACACCGCTATAATCCATCAGCATAACACATCACTCAATCAGTAACTTCAAAAGTAGCAAAATGCATAAATATCGCACACCAGAATTTGCTTCTGCTAGAAATTCGTGAAATTTATTGCTAATTTTGCTCGACTGAGGGGCTTTCGCAGGTTTTCTGCCGCACACATTGGCAACGCTTGAACTGACTGCCAATTCTTTTCGTTGTTGCTTAAATTTTAAGCGCTTTTTGTCCTCGCGCACCTGTTTCCGTTTGGCCTTTCGCGACTGCGGCATTTTTGCTATAATTCTGAGCTTTCTACCAGTCAAATTGATTTGTTGTCCGAATGTAAAAAAAGAAGAATGATTTTTGATAGATTCCAATAGAAGAAATGCCTCATCAAGTTAGACGCGGCGATGTCGCTGCATTGTTCGGACTACTCTGGGCCGTCTCGTGTATGTTTCTTGTCGGTTTACGTTTTACTACGCGTGAAAACGATGCGGTGTCTGCTTCTTTAAACGTGTCCAAGTCACGTGTCTTTGATTTAAAGTGGACATCTGATTCTATTTCAAACGCATCTACTATGTCAAAGAATGCGACGCTTTCGTTAGTTGAAACGCTACCTATTGGAGACTTTAACCTGTCGTCAGCTGTTCCGCAGACTTTTGAGACTTTGATACAACATGTGAAAACCTCTAAGTTTTCTATTGACATCAGCGCCATGTATTGGAATCTACTTGGCGAAGAGGACCGACGTGTATATTCTGACGCCGATATGTCGAAATTTGGTGCTGACAGAGGTAGAAACTTGCTCTTAGCACTTACTGATGCGGCAATCCGAGGTGTTAAGATTCGGGTCTTAACAGCCAAACAAACAAATAATATGTTCGACAAATCAAACACGTCATGTAGTTCTTTGCCAAGTGAGTTGCGGATGCTAGTGGACGCAGCTCAACAAAACGTCCAAGTGAGGTGTTGGGGCGGATCTGATTGGTATGGTAGTGGAATTTTACATCAAAAGTTGTGGATCTTTGATCGCAGTCACGTATACGTGGGGAGTGCCAATATGGACTGGAAGTCGCTTGCTCAAGTGATGGAAGTGGGTGTTATTATGGAGAATTTGTCTCCGAACTCAGTTGTTATTCAAGACATACAAAAGCTTTTCAAGACTTGGTGGATGTTTGCGTCAGACGATTTTTTGCCAGCAAAAACGGATACTTACTTTTCGGAAAAGTTTCAGCATCAGCTGCAAGTGCCGAAGTGGTCGCTTTACTTACCAAACGAAAGGAGAAGTGATGATCCTTTTGTAAAGGCAGGATTGTCGGCTCTGGGCAATATTTCGCATCAGCTGCAGATTCTGTTCAGCACACCTTCAGATAGTGGTAATTCTACTGAAATTGTTTCGAGACCGTCAGACATGTTTGTTGCAGCATCTCCGTTAGAAGTGACGGTTGGCGACTCGCGAACTTTTGACGAAGACGCCCTTGTGTACTCAATTCGGTCGGCCAAGTCATCTATCAGCCTTAGTGTAATGGATTTCGTCCCGTTTTCAATGTATACACCAGGACCTCTTTACTGGCCAGCTCTCACAGATGCTTTGCTGGCTGGCGTATATAGCAAGCCCGGACTACAGGTGCGTCTGCTGGTCAGCCAGTGGCAGCATACCAGCCCTCAAATGCTTCAAGCACTTGCTACATTAGAAAAACAGGCTAAATTGTGTCACCAAACCCATGCTCAATGTTCTGGAAGGCTAGAGATTAAGCTGTTTCGTGTGCCAGGTTGGCAAAACACCACTTCAAGTAGTGGCCCGAAGTCTACCTGGCCGTCTTACACTCGAGTGAATCATGCTAAGTACATTGTCACAGATACTCGTGCGAACGTGGGCACAAGTAATATGGAATGGGGGTATTTTTACACTACTGCGGGTATGAGCATTAACACAAATCATGAACCAACACGACAAGCTCTTGAAAAGGTTTTTGAGCGAAACTGGAACTCACCATATGCAAACGCTTTAAAAGACGTAATGCTTAATAATTATCAATGCTTGCAATAACTTATCACAACGTCTTGTATCACAAATCTAATAATCACACATCGGGCAGTCAGCACTTTTCTTCAGTGTCGCTTTGACATTTTTCATCTTCGTGTGAACGTGTCGTCTTTTTCAAAATTTCGATGCTCTTGACTCTTGGTATTGCAAACGAACTCAACCAAACTTCTCGAATCTCGTCGCCATGACCTTCCTGGAGCCTAAACTGTCGTTTAATTTGAAATGTACTTGGTTTTGAGCATCGAAACCATTGGTAGCTTCGCCATTTTTAGCACCATAAGAAGCTTTTTGACCTTTTTTGGTGAGGATCTCCTTTCTTTTCTCCTTCGCCTGGATAAATGGAGCCGCAATTTTATATGTCAGTTCTGCATCGAGGTTGTCGTACAGAGGCTAGTAGCTCACGAGGATCACGAACTCCTTTTTTTCGAGGTTCCATCATCTTCATATGTATTGATATTTTGAGAGGTATGTGCACCGAATGGCTCAGCTAGCCCCTGAGTTAGGCGCTGGGGTCTGGCAAATTTCCCCGAGTGTTCTTTGGATGGAACGGTCACGTTGACTCTTCGAGTCCCGACCAGTTACCTTCGTCCTTAGCAGTAGATACGCAGTGGGCCGTTCGATGAAAACTATACATTTTATGTTTTGCCGATTCTGTTCACAAATTGCACATTTCGTTGCGTTTACTAAGACGAAAACCGTCAACACTTCGCCGAGGAACTCACGATTACGCTTAGCTTGTTATCACTTAGTCTACCCCTCTGCAAGTGCACATGTCAGACTAATTTTTGCAAGATTCATCACGCCGGAAATATGATTTTTTCTCACCACGCCAAAAGTGGACCCCATGCACACCTAAGTATACAGGCCTTCTCCTTAAACAAAGACCGGAACGAGCATTTTCTGCTTCGATCCTCGAAAGTACTGCCTAAACATGAAGCAGCAGTGGTCGGGTGAATCCGTACTCTCCGTGAGAATTCTACCTTGAATATTGAACGCTATCGAAAGTGCCAAAGACTCACTTCGCAGAGTGGAAGAAGAAGTCTTCCATCTAGCAGCTTTACATACCAGTTTCGGTAAAGTAGACAACCAACTCTGACGTCTTTTAATGCGTGACTTTACGATATACAAAGCACGATGCGGACGTAACAGTGGGTCTCATCGCCTAATATTCTTGCTGTCAACAACTTTCTCATCCTTATTAGCTTGCTAGTACTGCTACCAGTCAAGTTTAAAAGGCCAGTATCCACTCGCTCGTGGAATGATCGCCGCTCTGGGCGGCCCTATCTCTTTTCTGAGAAGATGAAGACAGAGCATAATGTCATAAGCGGTAATAGTGTTAGGCCAATTTTGCCGAAGTGGAACCTGAAACTCCCGGTAGTTTTCGTAGCGAAGGTATCCCTTCGCCAGACAGTGTTATGACTTCGTATGAACCACTGGCTCAATTTTCCATCTTTTGCTTTGCGAGCAGTGCGGGTAGAAGTCAACCCTCCTGCGCCTGGTTTTCGTGAGCCAACTCGGTTTGGTGGTCAGACTCGCCTTACTCTAAAATTATTTGCTATGAGTGATACTGAGATTATCACATTTACGAATGCGCTTTATGAGCTACATCAGTGAGAGTTTAAACCCTCCATTTAAATCACAACAGTATTTGCTGCTCTAGTGCAGAATATAGCTCAGCTACAAAACATGAAATTGACGCCATTTTGTCTATAGAATAGCGCCTCAGATCCAAACGGATCGTAAAAATAGGATCAAGGTATGTTTTCTGTAGCGTGCCCTGGTGTGAAGTGTGTGGGTCACACAAGATGGTGTGATCACACAATGTTGTGGTTTACATAAGGTGGTATGACCACACAGTGGTGTGGCTACACTTAAAGAGAAGTCAGTACGTGGCCAGTAGTCATACATTTAACTAGGTTTTTCTATATAGATAGGAAATCCTATGAGTTTGGATATAGGCGGCTGCGCCACAAATAAAACCGGGAAATACGGTCTACGTTTTGAACGGAAGAGTTAATTAGCCTTGGTTTAAGATTGTAATTAACCTTGGAGTAAGTGGATTGCGATTCGCTACATCGTACTGGTTCTAGTATAGAACGAAGTCACCGACCTTAACCAAGCTTCATCTAAGCAAAAGAGCTACGGCAGCCCCGCTGCACTTGGTAGCGCTCGTAGTCAATCTAGACCTGAATCGTTATGACTGACCCTCAGTGACGATAGCATTGTTCTCTTATCTGCCCCGAGGCATGCAAGACGGGCTTTAAAAGCTGATGTCTCTGCTTGGCCCTGAGAGCGTGCATCATCTCGCTTCGCGAGGACCTGAAGCGATCAGCACGCGCCTAGAGGCGTTCTCAAGCTATGAAAATGCTCTGCTAGAGTATCTCCAGCAGAAGAGTTCGGCGTCGGCAGCGTCCATGACGCCACCGTCGGTTCCCGACCCAGACCACTCATGGTATGTGCTAAGACCTTCGGGGGTAGAAATCCCTGCTCTTTGTGAGAGAGACCGAGATGGCTATGGCGTCCGCCATGCTCCAGAACGAGCAACAGCGCGTGGCGCTTAATATTCTCAAGCTAGGTGGTCGAGCGCGAGAATGTGCACTAACGTGCGGCACTTCGGTCGAAGCGGCGTTTCCCTCCTAATCGGAGCTGAAGCAGCAGTTTTCACGAGTGTTCTCGCCGCCAGACCAGGCAAATCGCGTGCGATCGCGTTTTCTTGCCGCCCGTCAGGGCAAAAAGAAATTGGTAGACTCTGTCCAAGAGTTGCGCACTCTCATTGCCGGGACGGTGGCCGATCCTATCTCAAGGCGGTCACAGTGACCATCTTTTTGGAGGGCCTCCGCACGAGCCTGGACAGAATTGAAGTCTTCCGTGTGCACCCGTCTACTTTGAATAAAGCAGTTGGTTGGAACACACACTCTAGAAGCTCGTCGAGCGGTCCTGAGCCGATGGATCCCAGCTATACTGAGGAGGAGGCGGTAGAGCTCCGAGCTGCCAAGCAGTGTTCGAACACTCGGCGGTGTTTTGTCTGTGAAGACACCCGTCACCTTCGGACTGGTTGTCCGCGTCAAGGTTCATCGATTGACATTTTGCTTATCACCAGTCTGCTTTGTCGTGGGGAAACGACTGCACCCAGTAGGCTCGAAGTGGCCTACTGGGAAAGAACTAAGTTTTGCCTCACGGAGATTGAGATCAGCAGTGCCCAGCCCCGAAAATTTTCGTGCTCTTGAACACGGATTGTGTATGCAAGCCGGGCTTGCTGGTCGTGAAGGCAACCGTGAAGGGCCTTATCGATTCCAAAGCGTCGGTCAATTATGCTCGACGCGCCGCGATCAAGTGTATGCTGAGACGCTGAAAGTGCGGTTGAGCGACAACGTCACTGTTTGCTTAGTGACGAGGATATGTGTCACGGTGCCGAAGGTCCCTGTGGACCAAGTTTCTTGACTTTGATAGCGTGGAAAGCTACTTACTCTTAAACTTGGATTCAAGGTATGACCTCAATCTTGGTATGGTATGGCTGGAATACCATGAGCCATGGATCGATTGGAGGTCGAAAACGTTGGGGAGGTTTGGTGAGTCATGAACCCACCTTTGCTAAGAGGCAAAATGCTATTTGTGCGGGCGCTGGACCGGGACGGTCAACGTGCTAGAGATCGGAGTATCCGAGGTGGTGAAAACCGACGGTGTATCAGACAGAAGTTCCGAGCATGGCTCATGGGCTGAGCGTGGAGTGGCACGTAACCACCCACTGAGCGCTGCTTAAGTATCGGAGCAGTCGCTGCATGCCATGCGTGGCATGGTCGGCCAGGGGCCGAGGCCCCGGTGATGCACGTGGAGTGGCACGTAAAATACTGAGCACTGCTCACGTTTCGAAGCAGTCGCTGCATGCCACGAGTGGCATGGCCAGAAGAGGTTCGAGGTATCTTGGACATGACCATTCAGATGCGCGTGAAGTGGCACTTTTTCCACTGAACGAATACTGCGGAGCTAGCAGCTCTTCATCGGATGTTGTTGATAGCATCAGGGCCACGGCGGAGCAGAAAGTGGGGACACTAGACGACGCACAGTGCGTGTTCACACTGGTCTCGGCAAAACGTATAATCTTTGTGAAAAGGTGACATCGGCGTCGTGTGCTAGCTGCAAGACGCCGGGCATCGACCCTGACCCAGGATGTGTCTACCGTAGGCGAAAGCGCACAGCTATACACCCTCGTCAACGGTATGCAGGGGAGGGGACGGCGACATCACCCTCGAGGCTATTTCTGCGGTGAATGTTCGTCTTGAGCTGGACAAGATGTCCTTCGAAACGTTTGGCGATGCCTTGAAGGCATGCGACTTTGCCGAAGTGTTCATTATACGACCGGAAGAAAATAAAGCTGTCCTGGAGGGCACCAAGATGGTGCTGATCGCACGAAATGGATCTTCGACTCTTTACAATCCCTCGGATCCGTACTATCGTTTTATAAATGAATCTCAAGACGTCGTCTACAAAGATCCGCCGTCGGTCTTACCTCCGGACCGAGGTGTGCGTCATGAGATTGACTTGGTTCTAGGAGCCAAATACTGCGGAACACGCCAATGGCGCCTGCTTAAGGAACAGTGTGACGTCATTGACGCCTCTTCCGCACGATGCAGGAATGGTGCGTGGGAGTAAGCTTTTCCATTCGACACCGACGGTTTGTGCCCGAAACTGAACGGTAAGTGGCGTATCGTTTGCGCTTCAATTAGCTAAACGCTGCCACCATCCCGGCACAAACGACGATTCCTAGGAGGGATGATTTCTAGAACGACATGGCTGGATGTACAAAGTACAATGAAATCGGCTTAATGGATGGGTATTGCCAATTGTTCATGAGAGCGAGTGATATTCCGCTGACAGCAGTAAGTTATTGGAGCGGCATACTCTGGAAATGGCTGGTGATTCCTCAAGGACTATTAAATGCACCAGCAATTTAATCGTTTAGCACAGGAGGACGGACGAAATGAACCACATCGTCCATTTAAGAGCGGTGCTCGAGTGCATGCGCACGAATAAGCTGTATGCTAGTGCAGACGGAATCCTCTTTTTAGGGTGCATTATCGGGAAGCGTGGCCTTCAAGCCGATCCCGTTAAGATGACGGCCATTGCAGACTGACCAGTTCCAGTGAACCGAGAGGACTTGCGCAAGCAGCTTGGCCTCGCCAATTACTTGCACAAGTACAGGGAGAACTACGCAGAAATGGCACGGTCACTGTCGAATTTCCTTAAGAAGGATAAGGGATGGTGTCGGATCACCGAGCATCGGGGGGCTTTTGACGAGGTCAATGCTAGCCTTCTTCATGCACCAATACTGGCGTTGCCAGACCCTGATCGTATTTTTAGTGTCGTCTGTGACGCTTTGAACTTTCCCATCGGCTGTGCACTGCTGCAAGCAGACGCCGAGGGGCGTGATCGGTTGATCGCGTTCGAATCTTGCCAGCTTCAAGCCAGTAGAGCAAAATTACCAGTTCACGACAAGGAATTACTCGCAATGAAGTATGCAGTTGTCAAGTTCGGGTTCACCTGTTTGACTCCAAGCCCTTAGCGAACTACGCAGATCAGGCGTCACTACGCATTGCGACGCAGTCGCCTCACCTCTCGCAGAGGATGACCAGGTGGCTCACCTTCTTCGCAGTGTATAACTTCGAGGTGAAGTATAAGCCAGAAAAGCAGAATGCTTTGGCTGATGCGTTGTTATGCAGACCAGAGTATGAGCTTGCTCATGTCCTGACGGTGACGTCGTCCGTGACGGATTTGATCCGCGCCGCGTACACGGGTGATGATCTGTGCGTAGCACTGTTACAGGCTCTCAAGAATAAGGAGTTTGGAAACTCGGACGCCAGGACTGCGTGCACAGCTGCACCAATAAACATTAAATAACGGGTTGCTGTTTTATAGCACCGACTCGACGAATACGCATTGAATTGCGGTTTCTTACGATGAGGAATTGATGTGCCGTATCCACTATGTAGACCACGACACCCCACTCAGTAGCCATCTCGGTCGTAAAAGACCTCTAATTTGTGAGTTGCCACTACTTGTGGTCCAACCTTTACAAATGAAACAGCACCTATGTGCGCATATGTGAAACGTGTCAAAGAAATGAACCCTTTCCGAATGCGGTGGCGCCGCTGGCCAATTTAGCGGTATCCTCCGGGTGTTGGCAGTCCATGACCATGGCATTTGCGTTTGGCCAACATATTGACTTGGCGGACAACACGGATGTCGTGGTCTTCGTCGACGGTGTCGGTACAGCGACGCTGTTTGTGGATCGTGTCCTTAGACAACATGGACATTCGGGGTCTTGTCTCTGACAGAGACCCACGCTTCACTGGGAAGTTTTTGTCGACGAAGCGCGATGCTGCCACTCGTAGACTGACAATGCAGTGCATTCATTTACCGGCTACACGCCGTTCTACTTGAACGAGCTCGCTCATTCTCGCGTCTCGCTGATGCCGCCATCCCATGGTTCAGGGCTTTGTGGGGGAGGAATAGCCGAGCGGCTAGCTAGTGTCAGCCCCTTCGCCGTTTGTAAAGAAGTCGATGTCCTCCTGTTGACCAGACTGAGTGTCTTACGACACGTTCGCAATGCGATGACTGAAAGCCAAGACACACAGAAGGAATATGCAGAAGGAAGAGGTAGAGGGAATGTGAAAACTTGAAGGTCGGCGGCCTGGTTTTATTGAATGCAAAAAATCTTCCCGTTCATGCAGTTTCAGCTGTTCTTAAGACGAAGCTCCGTCCACGGCTTATCGTACCTTTCAAGGTTGTGGCCAAGCGGGCCCTTGCGTATACGCCAAATCTTCCGAAATCAATGCGCACCCACCCGATGTTTATGTGAGCTTGTGTATGCCGTACCGAGATCCTGTGCATGTGACCACGGAAGCGTTGGCTCCGGAGCGGCGCCCACAGGCGCTCGACCTCCCAGAAGCTAGTTCAGCAACTGGTTCTGAGCACGAAGTGCAACAATTTCCGTTTACAACGGCGCAAGGCGCTCCACCTTCGCATGAAGTGACGCATTCGTCTGCGCAACGGCTAGGAGCCGCTCTGACAGAGCGCGATAGTCCTCAACGTGAGGCAGCCGGGGCACAACGTGCTCCAAACACTCTAGAACTTCCTAGCAGCGGTATACGACCTGATTATGATGATCAGCAAAGTCCCGATTGCGACGGACTTTGTCAGCGTAGATTGCTGTCCTTTTTTAATTCGTCGACGTGCAGTCGACGTGCATTTTATGAGTCAACAACTTCTATGTGTTAGGTGCACAGCAGCTTTGAAGCCAAAAGACATCTCCTCTGTGATCATGATGAAACACGATTTGTTTAATAATGTGTCTTCGAGATGACTAGATATGTGCGATCGGCCTTTGTCTATTTGTTGGTCTCGAGAGGGTTGAGGAACTAAATACCCGAGGGCCAAAGGCAGTAATTCCACGCTTGCAATGAAATTGTCTATATTGCCGATCGGACTGCTAACAAACCACACAAGCCAGGAAATTTTTTTTATAGTTCCATCATCTTTGAAAATTTCGCTACAATTCGGTCCATATGAATATCCACAATTACACCAATCCGCAATGCAAACATTGTACAATTCTAGAGTATTGCTATTATTGAAATGCTTTATAAAATATAAATCTTAAGAGCACAAGACCACAATGCTTAGATAACGAAAGTCCCATCTCAAGTGTGGACCACATTGTTGATGCGAAATACTTTATCTTTACGACGCTGCATAAGAGTGACCGCTTCACAAACAACCACTGTGTCTGATGTCTAACTCTACCTTCTGCACATTATTTTAATGTATCTACAGCATACTTGCACCAGGAATCTCTTCCGTCCCTCAAGATAAATGGATCTCATCAGAAATGTACTAGCTCGCGCGCTCAAAGAAATTCTCGGTGAAAAGGTCGAAATGTTCTCCGATGACAACAACCGTGATGACTCTCCGAGTCCTATACACACCTATGCCCCCACCCCATGACACAGACTAGCCGTTTTGAAATGAAGAGGAGCTCAGTGCGATCAGCCTTCTCGCTGCACAAGTTCGTACTCCATGCCCTTTTTCATCAGAGGCGCGACGTGGGACTCACAGCGATGTTCAGCTCGTCACCAGTAAGCCGGAACTGGCACAAGGATCCTGGCATAATATACTGGAAGCGCAATAGTTACTCTGACTCCTGCACGAATCATCACGCCATCATTGCGCTTTTAACTATTTGAAGTTGCTAGCCGTGCTGGTCTGTTACATTTACATGCCTATGCGCGCGGGCTCCCCGCTCAAACCCAGAGCAAAACGAGCGTGATAAAGTCGCGCCGTGAGCGCTCCTCAGCCCACAGGCCCTGGCTCTTTCTAGGTACAACCCGCTAACAGTAGCAGCAGTTGGCAAGCCGTACCCTCGAAGAGAGTATATTTAGTTAATTGAAGCTGGAGAGATTGCCAATGAGTATCAAACTCAGTTTGCGCACAGGGTGAGTCGACTACGCCGTCTTACTGTCTGATAGTGCTGAGAGCCAGGCAGACGTCCGACTAGTGCATCATTTTTGCCTGGCTTAGCCAACTATAAAGCATATATCGGACCTCGAGATAAAGATAATCACTTTCACTTCTTGGTGTTAACGGCCCCTGCAGCTGGGCTGCTGTAACCGTTTGCTTAGCGGACGCTAAGCGAAGGTCACCGATCTTACGTTCTATACTAGAACAAATACGAGTGTAGCGGAACGCAGTCGGCTTACTCCAAGTGAAACCACGACCTTAACCGAAGGCAAAAAATCTTCCATTCAAGATTTAACTATCTTTCTTTTGTTTTATTTGCGGCAGAGCCGCCGGTATCTAAATATATATATATAGATAGTAAAACCTGATTAAAACGCATAACTACCAGCAGTCCAGCCACGTAGTGGCTTCTTGTTTAGATGTAGCCACACCATTGTGTGGTCACACCATCCTATGTGACACACCGATTTATACCAGGGAACGTGTAATTCCATTACAGCCCCACTCATCCCCGGGAGATAGCTAAAAGCTACCTAACAAGAGTTTGACTATTCACATGTTGGCCCTACCAAAAAGTAGAAAGCGCGGCTTGATGGGCGACTCCGCTCTTTCGTAAAGGGACATAAAGGCGGAGAATGCACTAAGTCGTAGAGGCTACGACGTCAGGGCACTTTTGCCGAAGGTAAATCTTTGAACACATGAGTTTATCTAGTGAGAGTATTTCTTTCACTTCGTCCGATATTGATTAAAGCCTTGGTGTACTTACCGGCCTGTCAAACGCTCAACGTGAAAGTGACCCATACCATGCTCATCGAGCATATTGGAAGTTAGCGCTAGTTCTAGTCAGCTTTCTCGGTTGTGGCAATACGTCGACTCTCTCCAGATCCTTGGCAGCGATTTGAAAACTGGGATGAGTCAGTGCTCAGACAACGCTTGAAAGCTCGCAGCTTTTGATGTAACAATTTCACATATAATGATTCATTTGTTTCAGCCAAACTGAGCACTAATTATTTTGATGTTATATGCGACTTGACCAAATAATACACTGCATTTGTAAGTGGTCTTCAACATTCAGCGATGAATTGTCATTTGATCTTTTTCAGCAGAATGTAGATTACTGAATCAGCGGATTAAACAAAAAGACGAACAACGAAGCTCCCAGTTTGAAAATAGAGCTCGGGTCACCCACGTAACAGGCAGTTCAAAACGCTAACTAATGATATTTTCCCGCGCTCACCGCAAGTCTTCTCTAGCTTGAATGTAGGCGCCTTTGAAAGCTACATTGGATACACCACACTGAATGAATTTATGATCTACCAACGACCATGCCAGAAATCTTTGTATGCCCTCGAATGATTCAGAAGCAGCCCTGCATAGGCCACCACAGGCTCTTCAGATGGACCCTCAGGTCCAGGTGAGGTGCCCTTTTCGCTGACCCATGCACCACTTTCACCGCCTGTCGCTGCGAAGAAGTGCATGCATATGTGGATCCCAGCTGTCTCTTATGTATCTTGCGCAAGTATTTTGATTCCCTGTTTTTTGAAAAAACTAAAAAAATATAATGTTATATCCCAAACACCGTGTGAGGGAAGCGCTCGATCTTGTGCGACGAGATATTATTTCGGCAGCTGTGCTCAGTCTGCTGTGATAAGCTTCACTTATGAGCAAGCGAATGCGACCGTCATTACTATATTGTATCCAGATCGATCACGAAACTCTATCACAAAGCTTCGACCTCCGCGCGGGTTAGGAGACACGTCTTGCTCTGGCAAAAAAAATGGGTTGCAACATACCACGGAGATCTGAAGGTCTCATGCTGCGAGTAGCAAAGGGACTTGATGCAGCAAGTAAAAACTGCAATATTTGACTTGTAAATTGCACAAACGGCTGGCCATAAGGGAAGCTACGTGGCGAATTGTATCGCTTCATCAGCTACGGTAATGTAAGGGGTAAAATTGCAGCAGCACCGCAGAATGCCCCTGTTCTTGTGTAATATCTTTCAAGCTGCGCAAACGTTTTCTGACTCCCATGTCGATGCACAACGAGCTTGTTTTCTGATACTGAGGCAGTAATTGACGCTTTTACTCAATTTGTGATATTCATAACAAAAAACTGATGCAACTATCGAGAATATGTGTTTTGCGAGTATCAAACGATGGTGAATAAAACGGTTCATGGTGACTATCAGTCAGGATCATGGGTGATGCCGTTTCATGGAACGAAATCGATCAAACTCACCAATGACACCAGACAATGTGCCAGACAGATATGCATTGGCAAGAGATGTGTTTCCTTTGCGAAAGATACAAAAATTGTCGAAGAGCCAGTAGATGACAGACGTTGTACGACTGCTATCAGTCTAAATGTTTGAGCCTCTTCAAAGTCGAAATCACAATAGAAGTAAGGCTACGTACTTAGTGAAATATATATCACGTACAAGATTGATGTGCAGAGCTTAATGCACCGAAAACTTTAGCTAATAAATATGAGTGTAGCCGATCCTGATATTTCACAGGTTGTTACTCAAAACCTTTATGAGCCCTTGTATACGAGGGTGCGTCAAACAGTATGCTTCGCACACAAGTGGCCTTACAGCAAAGTCTAATCGATATAAAAGGATTATAGTTCGTTGAAGGGATGGTTCGGAGGTGACAATGATTTAGGGTGGATTGCAGGTGGCAATTGCCCTTGACTTCGATGACATTTTTGATCTGATTCTTTGAATATCCTGGATATGAAGTGATAGACAAGCACTTACCGAAAGAAAAAAACAAATAACATCGATAAGTAAGCCGCGGAAAACTACAGATCTTTGATAACAACTGATATATACATTTTTGAGTCTTACTCGATGAGAGTCAAGCGTTTGTTGTCTTTTCAAACGCAAATGTTAAGATTGTAAACCAGAAGTCAAGTATATTGTTTTGTATTAGCAAAAGCGATAAGACTCTGAGGCGAAATACTCACACCCATATTGCGTGAAGCCATTCAGCTTGCGCGAACAAGACGAATGGCAAAAATGTTTATCGAGCGTTTGATGTGGCCCCCGGCGGTTGAATAAATTCTTAGTTTCGTTGAAAAATGTACCTCTCGTTCTGAGAGCACTTCACTCAATTCGCGCACCGGTTGAGGAAGACACAGACATCTTAACCTTTTGTTGATTTTGGAAGCCAGCTTTAGTAAGGCACTTCTGACTGAACTGTCGACTAATGCTTGACATTTTAGGGGGCATATTACGATGTATAAGTCAAGAGGAACGTTCACAACCACTCCAAGCAGTTGCTGTAACCAGCCCTGCTCATCTCTTGGTACAGTAAACGGTCATAAAGAACCAAATCGTAAGTGGCAGCAGCACTTGTCGAGATAGAGGCCACAGTATATATTCAGTGTTAATTTCAAAAAATTGGACCTGCTAGTCACAGCATTCCGCAGTCACATTATCTGCTCCATATGGAAGTGAGCCACCCCGTGATTAGGCAAATCTGGCTGAGGATGACCATCTCAAGGCTATATCTCATTAGGTCTCTTGATGACGACGGTAGATTGCCTCTCTACAAAAATTGGCTTGTAGCCGCAACTGGCATATTCACAGACGACCAGTGCATGCTGGATCTCATCTGTACTCGAATCAAGTGAATCTTGGTGCACACCATATTACTATTCAGCCCGAAAATGCCTCTTTGGATCCAGCTATTGGGCTTAGGATCATCCTTCAAGTAGCAGTAGAACACAGCACTGCGAAATGGTCGCTTACCGGACGATCTCGAGTCTCTATCGAAGCTCGGAAGCTCTACTTGGACAACACGTTAGTGATTTGGGTTGCTCACAGCGTCAACATGGCGATGCTGCGCGTGACTTGGCAATTCCAGCTGCGGCATTTACATATAAAGCAGCATTTAGTGAAGATCAACTCCATCTCTTAGATCGGCCATGTATCTGTCAAGAACGTGCTATCCAAGTACGAGATGACATGTGTCCAAGGCATCAAATTTGTAATAAGATCAACCATTCCTGCATAACATATATCCCAGCCATGAATTGCAGTTTAAGCCCAAGGTCTTCGTAGACGACTATCAGCTCAAAGCTACAACTGGCAGCATCAGGACGGAGTAATGAAGTCTTAACGGTTTTCTGCGCTGCTTCCCTAGTATTGACACAGCCCCAGTATGGTGGTTACAGGAGGCTATCTTGTCGTGAATTTTAATGTCGAGAATACTTTTAATTACATCTACAACGCATACGGCCCTGTTAATCGAAAAGAAAAGGATGGTGTCTGTGAGTCCAGACACCGCAGAGATTGAAGTTTATGCGACGCACTTGGCGCTAGGTGAACTTATAACCCCCTAGACAGACGACTTGACTTTCATCCTCTGAATCAACCCGTGTCGCCAGATGGTTTAGCTGCTGCAAAAAGCTGGTAATGCTGGATGCAATAAGCACATAAAGGATTCACCACGACACCTTCTGAATTTTCACCGGGCTATTCCAACGTTAGTTTCGGTGAGCTACACTTTTCCAGCAGATGGCTTCTACACACGCTGTAGATTTTCTTCTAAGCTTTCGAAATAATGAGTCTAGGTGTTAAGCGATCGAGCTCGAATCAAATGTAATTCTTACCCGACTGTATGTTGCAGCAAACCTGGGCAACAGCAAGAAACAAGCTTCAAGACTCAGCTAGGAAAGATCGAAAAGAAACTTAAGTATCAAGAGGCGAAGGCAACCGAAGCAACTCGGATCTTGCTTGACCATGCTGCAGCCCGGTACCGCACGTCTTTAAACAAATTTAATCGCCAGCATCCGGGAGTTCTACCACGCATTTCTTTTGTCCATGATGCACAAGCATGTCGCGATTTTCGATCGAGGAGACAAGGACACCGCGTAGAAGAGTCTCGACATACCCTCTCGATCTCTTTCTTCGCATTCTCGAACCTTGAAAGCCCGTAATAAGAAATCTTAATAGTCCAGCAGGGAGGGATTCTCTGAACGATGATGGCATGAAACGCAAGCTGCTCGACTCGATCATTTGCTTTGAATGAAAGATCATGCCTTTCCAATAAACTAGTCTCCGCTGCAGACTTGGTTCGACAGATGAAATAAGCCTCGCCATTTATGATAGCTCCTTTTAAAAATGTCGCTGCAAAAGGGATTGGTTAGTATTTGAGCTTTGTGATCAACGACTTCCCGTAACTAAGTGTGCTGTTTCCATCGCCGAGCAAATTGGCCGTGGTGCTGCTGCAAAAGAAGGGTTACGCTCAAAGCCTGGTAAAAACCAACCATCGCATTTTTGCAGACCAACGTGAAGGCGTTTTCAATGACGCTAGTGTACATACTACAACAAGTTCCTTCGAATCCGATCCATTCCGACCAGGAAGGTTCTGCCAGGATTGCTCGTCAGTCCCACGTTAAGATGCTCTAGATTGCTCGACCTCGTGACGAGTCTGAAAAACGAAGCGTTCGAACTGTTCTTGGGCTTGAATAGGACACTCGACTTCTTTAACTGCATCAGTGAATGAGGCTTTGTGCAGAGTGTCTTCAGTGGATCGAGTTGGTTTTTACCAACCAGTATGCACAGATTATGATCAAACAACTATGACCAGCCCGCGTCGTGTTCCAAAGGACCTCTTTGTTTGTGATGATCTCCAATCTAAACATCCAGCTGTTGAAGCACACGCTACGATCACACGAAGAGTCTGAACGCGGATCACAATAGCTCGGGCGTTCTTCGTAGACGACTCGGATCTTCTGGGCAGCTCGATAACGACCCTGCAAGCCCAACGTAGGCTCGGTGATGAGAGCTGCAATGTTGAGCCTTTCTGTTTCGAGCCCCAATGCAAATTTGGCCATCAACGAGTTAAATATTGCACTGTTCCATTTCAGCAATATGGGTGGACGCGGCCTGCGTCATGACGAGTAAAACTGCGCCAATCGAGTACTCCCAACATTTACAACAACTTTTATACATCGTGAATATATCTGCGTCACTTGTGTCAGAATTCAACACTGATACCAGGGACTGCATCTTATAACGTGGCGTTTGTATCAATGTCCATCCAAGTATCACTGATCGTCGTTTAAACCTCTGCGCTCTGATCTCCACTTTAATTTATTGCCGATACATTTTTAACAGCGTACATGTTTTCACCAGACTAATTGTTTTGCTGTCTACCTTGGTGCAGGTGTAACTGGTACCACCACCGTCACGGTGATACCTAGCACTTTGAACCACGATGCTTAGGATTAGCAGGCATATGCAGGAATACGTCATAAATAAATTGCACCTTCATTATTGGTAACAAAAATGATATATCTGCAATATTTAAGTAGTAGTTTCTTAGCATTTTTATATATATAAGTACGGTTCTGTTACTGATGTAGAGACCACAAAATTTGTTATGTGTAGAAACATTTGAGATTTATATGTGGGACAACCCGTTATTTTAAAATACTAATAATATCGATTATAAAAGTCAGGACATTCTCAGAAATCAGACAAAGCTGAAAATTTGAATCCATTCATGTAGTTTGAAAGGTTTTTTGGTTGTTGATACCTCGTACACACGCTTGTCTAGCGAAAATTCAAGAAAAATGTAAAAAAAACAATGCTACGGATATATTCATAAGCAGAAAAAGTAAACAAACTATGTCATTACTTGAATCCAGTGAATTTCCAAGGTGTATATTCTGACCACGAGCTAAAACGGTCAACCGATTCAGAAAGGTAG